AGAGACCATAGTCAGGGACTGTGTGAATCCCAGGGTGGGTCACCAGTTCCCAGCATGGAGACCATAGTCAGTGATTGTGTAAATCTTAGGGCTGGTTCCCGGTTCCCAGGGCAGAGACCATAGTCAGTGACTGTGTGAATCCCAGGGCTGGTTCCCAGTTCCCAGCACAGAGACCATAGTCAGGGACTGTGTGAATCCCAGGGCTGGTTCCCAGTTCCCACCATGGAGACCATAGTCAGTAGACTGTGTGAATACCAGGGCTGGTCACCAGTTCCCAGCATGGAGACCATAGTCAGGGACTGTGTGAATCCCAGGGCTGGTTCCCAGTTCCCACCATGGAGACCATAGTCAGTAGACTGTGTGAATCCCAGGGCTGGTTCCCAGTTCCCAGCACAGAGACCATAGTCAGGGACTGTGAATCCCAGGGCTGGTTCCCAGTTCCCACCATGGAGACCATAGTCAGGGACTGTGTGAATCCCAGGCAGAAGGCTCCCTCTGACCATCATAAGCCAGTCTCTTACTGACATTGCCACCCTTGGCCTTTTCCTTTTACTCCACTGCCCCAAACCCCAGCTTGCCCACCCACCAGGCGCCAGAGGAGCTGTAGAGGGAGGGCCATGCCCCTGGAGCCCGATGGGCACTCTGTGGTGCCAGCTAACCTCTGACCTTCCTCAAGCCAACTTCACCAGTTAAGGGAACCTCAACCTCTTTTTCCTCCAGATAAACTAAAGCTACAGAGTGGTGGTCCCCCTGTACCCCCTGAGAAGTATCAGCCTTTGGAGCCATTTTGCTCACCTTGCCTGGCACATCACAGACAGCAGGGTTCTTTATGAGGTGGAAGCCAGGCCCCCTATGGGCTCTGAGGCCACAGCCTCTCCCCCCTCAGCAAACCCACTCAGTGCCCCTCTTATCTCTTTCTTTAGTATTTTATCTGTTACTATGTGATATCTGTGCATACACACGTTCTCAAAGCTCCCTTGCTCCCTTCTCTTGCCACTGGGCTGTTCCTTTTCTACCTTGCTGCTGAGACTAAGGAGAGAGACATCTCGCAGAGCCCTGGGCGGCCCTGTAGTCTGCTGCTTGCTCCCCACAGACCTGCTGACGTCCACCTGTCATGGACCTGCTATCCATCAATATTAAAAACACACTATCCTTTTGTTCCAATGACTATGATTTCTCATAACATTCGCACTCCCTTCCTGGACACCTGATTATTTCTTTGGCCTTAAAATGCCTGAGTCCCATCTCCCGTGAGCTCCTGCCATCACCTGGGGTTAGCACTCTGCTTGAGGCTGACTTTGAGGGCCCATGTTCTGTCCTTTTCTGAATTCCAGATCCTTATAGCTACAATGTCTAGAACTTCACTTGACCTTTAACAAGGGGTTTAAATTAACATAACTGATATAAATTATACGACTCTCTCCTTAAGAGCATACCCTCCTGTTGAGAACGCCCTCTGTTTGACAGGCCCACCATGCCATTTCCCCAGACAGAAACTTGAAAAGCATTAAGAGCCCTCTCTCTCCTCCCCCAGTGCCAAGCTCTGCACTGGACCTGCCAGCCCTGCTTTCAGTGCCTTCTGCCTTCCTCTCCCTCCCACGTCTCCTCCTCCTGCTGCTGCTGGCCTCTGATGGGCTCACCTGCTCTCCTGAGGTGCCGCTCTCTTTTTAGGTGATCTTCCATTGGCACCAGGTGGTTCTTTCTGAAACACCAGCCTGCTGGTGCCACTTCTTTCGATCTGCCCACCACTTCCAAGGCAAGATGGGAACTCTTTCACGAGATGGACAAAGTCCTGGCTGCCTGTCCAACTGTCTGGCTCTTTGCTCCCCTCACCCTGGCTCTCATTCTGGGATGTGCTCCCCCCATATGTCATGTTTGATCAGCTCCACACCTTCCTATGGGCTGCAGAGACAGCAGGAAATCCTAGTATTGGGTTGGCAAAGTCCTAGGTGCCAACTCTTAGGACTCAAACCTGTTCTGGTCCCTGGTATCTCCTCCTCATGCACTTCTGGGTGAGGTCCTCTTCCTGCACAGTCCCACGTGCTCTGAGTTTGTCTCTCTTATGCTTCCTTCCTATGTGCTGAACTGTCTTTTGTGAATGTTATTTTGTTATTGATGTCGAGGTCCAAGGATGAGCTTTTCCTTTATGTCCTCAGCTGCTCAGCACTGCCCGTATTTGTAGGTAGTTCATACGCATTTGTTAAATGAAAGGAATAAATCAGTGACTCCATCAACCACTTCATAGTTAAAAGATACCAACAAGAAGAGATAATAAATTACTATAAATTAACCATCTTTAATGTAAATACTAATTACACATCATACGGTAAGACCTGGCAAATTTCTATGTGAAATACCTAAAACACTGTGACCTTCTCTTGTCACAAGGCGGGGAAGCCAAGGTGAGAGCCATGTGAATACGTTCCAGTTCAACAAGACCAGTTTTCCCCTTTTCCCGAAACATCATGTGCTACTATGTACCAAAGGCTTTGTAAACACGTGGACACACAATCTCCAGGTGATTCCCCTCATTTTGGAGAAACCCAAATATAGCTGAAGTGACTTTGTTCCCTGAGGTTTGATGCCACGCCAAGCCGTAATGTGTGCTTCTAACCCTAACAGGTATTTGAACCAGACCATGCGGGAAGATATCTTAACAGCAGAGCATTCTCTGAACAGAGAGAAATTAGCTGTTTTGAAACAAGCCCTGAATGTAGTTGGCTTCAGCAATTTGGTGAGTCATATCATTAATATGTCACTGAGCAGACCAACCGTCTACTCATTTGTAGAAGTTGTTCAATCCCCACACTGTTCATTGAGCCTTTATTATATTCCAGATGTTTCTGTAGAATTGGTGACTCAACAGAGCATAAACTCAACCCCTGCCTGCTCGAGTTTACATGCTAGTGGAGGAGCAGGTGTCAACACGCACAATGTGAACCAAGACCAGGGTGTGAAGGCAGAAAGGCAGGACAGGGGAATGGAAAGTGAGGAAAGGAGTGGGGTGTGCTGTCCAAGAAGGTGTCAAGAGCCCTTTCTTAAATTTAGATAGACAGATTGTAGATGAGAGCCTGATAGCTAGATAGACAGACAGAGATCTCCAAAAGATATCAAATTACTTTATATATTGACCAAGCCATAGGAAAACTAGTAATTCTGAAGTAGCTCTGTTTACTGTTAAAAATGACTTGAATACTGATAGAATCACATTATTAAAATATCTTCTTGAACAATATAATTTTTAGCCTTAAAGAATTATCAAATACCTACAAGCATCATAAAGCTGAAAAATACAATTTAAAAGTTGTAGACCATTGTTACCCAGTAGAGATTTCCATGGTAAGGGAGTTGTCCTTGGCCTGGGGTGTATCGTAGGGTCACTCCTGGCCAGGGGTGGCTCCTGAGTACTCGAAATGTGGCCAGAGAGCTGAAGAGGTGATCATCATTTGTTCATCTTAGTTAATGTGAATTCAAATAGCTATAACCAGTTGGTGGTCTCTGGATTAGACAGCACTGGTCTAGCAAATATGAAATACGAGAAGAGGTAAAGCTTTAAGCCTTGAGAGAAACCTCCCGGAATCCCACTCATTCATCTCCAGGGGGGTCGTCTCTGCAGTGACACCCCCGTATGGGAGTGCTCTGGGCTACGGCCAATTCCTGGCACATAATTAACGGAAGACTACAGGAGTAACTGCCCACAGATTTAAACCTGTTTTTTCTTTCTGTTTTTCTGAAACCAATTGATTGAGTGGGATCTTTTGTTTTTTCCTTGCCCACATAGTTGTGTCAAGGCAGCAGCCAGGGGGTGGGGAGTGGTGCGAAGGTCTACACAGGGAAGGACTGGGAGTGGGGCGCACCCCACATGTCAGCTGGGGGAGCTCTGCTCTGTTTGGTACTTCCATATTTTACTACAGTGTTTTTCAGACATTTTTCTTTTCTTTCTTTTTTTTTTTTGAGATAGCATCTCATTCTGTTGCCCTTGGTAGGGTGCTGTGGCATCAGCGCTCACAGCAACCTTAGGCTCCTGGGCTTAAGTGATCCTCCTGCCTCACCTTCTGAGTAGCTAGGACTACAGGTGCCCACCACAATGCCTGGCTAGTTTTAGGGTCTCCATTTTGCTCAGGTGCATCTCTAATTCCTGAACTCAAGCAGTCCTCCTAGAGTGCCGGAATTATAGGCGTGAGTCACTGTTCTGGCCTTTTACTAACTTTTTATCTTACAGCACACTTGAACCTATTGTTAAACTTTTGTGGCACACTTAAATTATGTTGATCAAAAAAAGAAAAGGAAAAAGAATATACTTATTGTGCTTGGAATTTATTTTGAAAATAATTTAATTAATGGTCTTTAGGATTTTTCTGGGCACCTGCTCTCAGGGCACACTAGTGTGCCACGGCACCCGGGGTGAGCGCCACTGCTCTGCTGCCACTCCCCACTCCCTCTGTCCATCCTGCCACTTACGCCTCTGTAGTTTTTGTTTTTATTTTCCCCTTCCTCCACACCTGAAATTTCTGCTTCCTCAGAGGAAATGGGGATAGAGATGAGCATGGGGAACCGTCCTAGAGAAATGCCAGCTGCCTAGAAACAGGGCTGTGAGAACCCACGCCTGATCCCCACAGGCACGGTGGGAAAAATGGTGAGTGGAGGGTCTGAGAACCTCACATAGAAACGTGTGCACAGTGACAAAGGCACAGGAATCCCCTCATCTTGGCCCTGTGGAGTGACCTGAATGATGACAACTTAGTCCACTTGGGAAGGAGAGATTAGGAACAGTAAGATTTGATGGGATGGAGTTCTGCCCTTGAATCAGGTGTGGTCTGAGAGGTGTGCTCACCTGGTGCCTTTGCCCAGCCCCCTCCCATCACCGCAGCCCACGCTGCACTGGAGGGGCCGTGAGGACAGTCCAGATTCTTCCTGCCTGTATCAGGAAGTGCCTATACGACAGGGTGCCAGAACATTTCCTGAAGAGTTACTGGACTTATTAAAAAGGAAAACAACAAGTTTTCAGGTCCTTTAAAAGGCGAGGAAAACGTTATTTCATAAAGCATAATCGAATTAAATTTAAAAAACTAATTTCTAATTTACCCAAAACATTCTTTAGTATATTATATTTGTAGGATATCACTATACCCGGAAATTGCTTAGAAATCATTCTTATTTTACCAATCTTCTCACTTTAAAAATGATAAAATAATACCTTTATAGAAACTAGAAGTTCCAGAGGAAATTCATAGAAGTCTTGAGAACTGTCTTATTTCAATCATATACTTATAAAGCAAGTAAGAGTTGTTTGTAGAACAACTTGCACAGTACTGGTGGAAGGATTTTATTCTCAAATTACAAGCGAGGAAATTGAGAATTTAAAAGGCCACGTCCCTGGCCTTTTCTGGAGCTTAGTCTGTTCTGCTGTCGATATTGTCAGGCTCAATGTTTGGTCTTCTGAAGAAGCACAGTTCAACTTATAGCTTTTTCTTGATTTTTCATTTTTTTGCCCCCAAATGACTGTCCAGAACCAATTTTAAGATCTAATTTACTTTTTTAATGTAGATTCTCAGATATTTCCTCTCAGCAAACACTCTCTTACTTCCTGCTACCTTCTGCTCAAAGACAACACTTGCCAAGTCAATTTTTTTTCTGTGTTTTCCTTAAAATAACCTTTAAAAACAACTCGCATCTTGTTATCTGGGCAATAGTTTTTGTTATGCCCTCATTTAATTTTCCAGCAGAAGTGAAAAATTCTGTACTCATCATATCAGTTTATCTCACAAGAGCAAGGACTAAGAAATGGGCAGCCTAAGTCCTTGAATGAATCAGCCACAGCACCGCAAAGTCCTATCCACCGCCCTGCAGTGTGGAGGGGACAGAGTGAAGCCTCACTCCACCACTGGGGTGGTCCTGCCAGGCAGACCATCACAATTAAAGAGCCATTCATTTTTGCTGTTGCTAGTTATCTTGAAGCCTTTAATGTATATCAAAATATCACCTCCTTACTCTCTTATGTTGAAGGTATAAAAATGTTGATTTAAAGGACATTGGAATGAACTATGAGTTTTTGATTTTGAGGTAGGTATTGGTAGTTGTCTTACTGAACATTTAGAATCTGAAAAATCACAATCTCACTGATGGGGAATAATTTGTTTTCATGGCCTACCTTTGGGTTTTTGAAGGATTTGGCTTTTAGTCTTTCTTCTAAATGTCGTGTTCATTTTCTCTCTTGTAAATCTCATAGGAGGTGGAGAACCTGTTTGTAATTCTAGCAGCAATATTACACATCGGAGACATCAGGTTTACTGCCCTGACTGACGCCGACTCTGCCTTTGTCTCTGACCTCCAGCTTCTAGAGCAAGGTCAGTGGAACACGACCTTCCACATTGACCTCTATGTTGTGCAATTTTGTAGACCTACCAGTAGATGGAGACACAGCACAGAAAAGCCACTTGGCATCAACCCTTTGCTGGAGCAAAATTCAACGGGGGAAAAAACAACCAAAATGTTCACTTTGTTCTTTCTTATAAATGGTTATGGGTATGAATAACAAGATGTACTTTTATGTTCCCATTCTGCACCCACATTAACAACATTGATTCCTCAGCAATATTTGTGCTTATTTATATTGTTCTGAGCGTTCTCTGCCTCACCGCCAGTACCCGGTATGCTTTGGGGGCATGTTATTAGCCAAACATTTTAAACAGAGTATAATTACTTCCCTTTAAGTTCTTGCCAAAAATCTCCCTCTTTGATGTTGCCTTGTTAGTCACTCCCAGATTTTTTTTAAATACCTTAAAACCACACATTGTCAATAAAAACATACCTTTGCCTGTATCAAAGTGATTTAACCAGGAATTTGCAATAGTAATAATAATAGCAATGATTCCATGCCATCTGTGAGGACAGGAGGAAACGTTGGCTGTGGGCTAATGCACAGAGCCTCAGGACCTCCGTGTTTTGATTACTTAGAGAAGCTCTTCTAGTTTGAATTTGACAATTACAGTGGCAGTTCTTTTCTTTAACACACACATTCCCTGATGTGTATACATGCAACTTATAAAGTCAGACCATCAAATGCAACGTTCTTGTTATCAACAGTATACACTAACTTTGTGTTTATAATGCTATTTTGATTTTAGTGGCTGTAATGTTACAAGTATCAGCAGATGAATTGGCTTCTGCCTTAACAACTGATATCCAGTATTTTAAAGGTAAAAGAATTTTCTGTTCTCTGACCTTTTTGTGTGTAGTTTGGAATCAAATATGGAAATTAAATACAACTCTGTCTGTCTCTACTTTGTGAAACTGTCTCTATCAATGGAATACCAAATAAGAAAAGTGTTATGAATCTATTAATCTTGTTAAAGAACCAACTTTTTGTATTACTGATATTCCTGATGGTTCTTAAGTTCTCGCTACCTTGATGTGACTGTAAATTCTATGCTCTTGAGAACCCTTTTGCTGAAAAGGTCAGCCTCTCTAGCTAATTTTTAGAAACAAATCCATCAATTCCAGAGGATTTGTTCAGAGAAACTGTGGGGTCCGTTCATGTGTGCTGGGCCCTGCTGCCCTCTCTGAGACACCAGTGTTCACCTCGACCTCATGGTCCTAACAAGAGCTGCCACTGATCAGGCATGTGTGACCTGGTAGGACATGTTCCAAGTGCTACAAATGTTGTGGCTTTTGAATTCTCACAAATCACTGTGACATGGAACTATTTCCATTTCAACAGGTGAGCAAATGAAGGTTCAAAGAGGTCACACAACTTTGATCACCAGATCACTAGGAAAGCACAGGTTTGGGAGAACTCAGGGTTGCCTGGCTCCGATGACAAGCTTCATTCTGTGTTCCACCCACATGCACTCAGCAAGCAAGGGGTGTCGCCATGTGACCATAGATTATTCACTATAAATCATGGCCTCACAACCTTCTTTACTGTTCATTGTGAGGACTCACCATCCAGCTGATCTTTCTTCCTTCCCCTAATCACCACTGTTCTTCCCCATGTCTCTACTGGACGTATTTGCAGGCATTTGGGTGGGTGGGGAATGATTTGCTACTCCCAGAATGAGCTCGGTGAATCTCCCCATCATCCACTCGGCTGCTGTGATACCGGCTTCTTTTTCTGCACTGAAAGATGAGAATGAGACACAAGCGCTCGACCATCAACATCTTTCGTTCATGACACCTTCTTCATTCCCATGGGCACTGCAGAAGTTTTCTTTCCTTCCTGGATCATGGCAAGAGCCTCCTGCCTGTCCTCACTTCACCCCTTCCATGCTGCTTCAAAAATGATCTTTCTGAAATGCAAGTATGATTTTCCTTCGTGGCTAATAGTCTTCCAAAGACACTCCCACTCCTGTGGAGGACAGCCGTCACATCGGCGGCATGGCGGGGGGCTCTTCAGTCCCAGCTAGACCTTGTTTAATTTTTGTGCTTCTTTTATGGCAACCCTGCACTTAACTACCCTGACCATCTGGAGTTCTCCAAATATGTTATTCTTTTTTATGCCTTTTTGGGAGAAAATTAGAAATCACCATCAGTATCTATACTCTTAATAGGGGTAGGTCCCTCTGCTTACATGTTGGTAAACTGTCAGAATGCCTCAATCACAGTGAGTTTACGGGCCTCAATTCTAGTGTCATGAATGGCCACACTGGCTTTCTGTTCCCTGTAGCTGGGCCATGTGCCCCGTCAGTGGACTTGACCTTGTAGCTCTGGGACTACATGACCTGACCTGATGTTTCTTTCCTTCTTTCCCTTCATTTCTCTCTCTCTCCTCCCTCCTTCCCTTCCTTCCCTGCTTCCTTCTTTCCTTCTCTCTCCCTCCTTCCTTCATCTCAGCCAGTCTCAGCAGCAGTTCACCCTCCTCACTGTTTCTCCAGCTGGCTGGAAACCATTTAACCCTCATTTCTGTCGCTAGTCCCTGCCCAGCCTGAGGTGCTTGGTTCCACCCATTTTGGCCAAAGCCATAGAATATGAATTCTGGACTTTCTGTTACTCTGAAGTCTCCACAAAAGTGACATGACAGGCTCAATTTTAAACTATGCACACTCTTTTTTTCCTTGGTCCCTTCTTTAGTTATTTCCTTCTAAAAGCCTTACCACTCAAGAGTTCAATCACCATCTTCTTGAGAATGACAGAAAAATCTTTACATTAAGCCCCAATCCTGTTCCTGAATCCCAGACCCATATTTGGCTGGCTAGACCATTTCTTTGAAAATATTTAGAATATGACTCGCATTTCCAGATGACCAAGCTTCCAAATGCCTTAGGATGATTCAGTATCTAAACCAGCAAGTTGTTATCAGAGAACTTGTCAAGAGGGGCCCTGTGAAGAGTCAGTTTCCTAACTGAGATGAAATCATACAGCCTTCCTAAAGGTTAAAAGGTCTGGTCAACGTGTGCAAGAGATAATGCTGTGATGTATATGACATTCATTTCAGGGAGACATTTTATGTAAGAACCAGCATTTATTGAGTCCTAGCATGGGATTTCACACCCTTTGCTGTATGTGGTGTGTGGGGAAGGAGTAGGGTGGGCGTCATTCCCCTGGCTCCCGAGTGTGGCCGCCTTCCTCTCACCCCTCCCCTCTCCCCACTGCTGTAGGTGACATGCTCATCCGACGACACACTATACGGATTGCTGAGTTTTACAGAGACCTCTTGGCCAAATCCTTGTACAGTCGTCTGTTCAGCTTTCTGGTGAATGCCGTGAACTGCTGTCTGCACAGTCAGGATGAACACAGGAGGTAGGTGATGGGTACACCTGTACTTGTGCTATTCCTGCCAGAGACGACCCGAAGGCCTGCTCTTTAAGTTGCTTTGTGGTTAAGCGTGGCCCCTAAGTTAGGTGTCATTAATGCACTTCATTTTAACAAGGTAGTTTTATCTGAATGGTCTCACTGATTATGCATTTGGGAGTTAAGTCCCTCCCTAGACACCCCCCCACCATGCTATTGAACTAATGAAATCGTCTGTCAGGCGTAGATATGGAAATGCCATCTTGTGTCTCTGGACTGAAGTAGACACAGCCTTTCATGCACCAACAAGTATAAAGTGTTATAAATCCAGAAATAAGGCAGTCTGAGGAGGCCGGAAGCACTGAGTGTGTTGAGTGGCTCACGTCTCCCAGCACAGACCCTGACGGGTTTACATCAGTAATTCTTCCTCCCCTCTCTTCACTTGTTTTGTGGATTATTAGACAAAGGGTCTCTATGGCAATCATTTGGCTCATCCTCCAAATCATCTTAAACAATAAGTTTTTGAGGTACCTACTTAATTGTATGAAAGTCATAGATGTCCATGACATGGTATCAGTGGAAAATTGTTACTTTTCTTATTTCTAATAAGTACCCCAAGCAACTATGAAAGCAAAATTGCATCCAGGAGTCTTCACATGTACACTTGTTTGTGAAAAACATCTGAGAATTTTTTGTTGTCTGTACAGACATTCTCACTAAATCCCTGAAATTGGTGCCTGTAGAATCTCTTGGAGGTATATGCACATATGAGGAAGTTCTCAGATAAATGTGGACATGTCAGGAGATTTCAGAGACAAATGATACTAACATTTTCATTAAAGTATACACATATAAAATCCCACTGACCACTGGTCAGCATATTCAATATAAAATCTGTGATTTGAAGGTGGCTGTGGCCCCTCAAATATATATACTATTTAATCTATATTCTATATTTAGATTATATAAATACAATAAATTAATATATTAACATATACTCTATAAGATATATGTTAATATATATTAATATGATGTATAGATTAATATATGATCTATATTAATAGATCTCTATATTCAGAAGAGATGCATCAGTACTTAGGATGGTAAGGACTCTTAATTTTGCCATTATTCCTTGTTATCAGGTATTTTGTGATTTTTAAATATGAAGATTATCTAGAGAATGATACTAATATGCTAAATCTCCCAAAGTAACTATATGTAAAACTATTGGTAGCTCTTCTGAAGATAACATTGAAGAAATTAATATATAAATTCAGCAATCTGTAGAAACTTCTAGAAAATTTTTATTTGACACTTAAATATTACATTGCCTTAAATTTATATAATTAGAAATACTTATATAATAAGTATGATCTAAATTTTGGACTACATATACACATACACAGAAAAATTGTTGACCTGAACCATAGAGAACACACACTTCCCTGTCACTGGGAAGATTGCCCCACTGTGTCAGCAGGCACATTTACCAGGGTGGTCTTATCTCTAAAATTGCCTTTATGAAGCAAATGAATGATAACAGGGACTCACGGGAAAATGAATGTATTAGAAATTTAACTTCTAAGAGACAGTACTCTCATTTGAGTCATAACTCCCACGGTTGCTTCTCTGTTTCTGCTATGGGTCACCGAAATCTTAATTTAAAGCCCCAGAAAACACAAAGGAAGTTTATATTATAACTCACTGAGATTTGTTCACATTACTTAAAGTTCTGCAGATTTATAGACCTAGTTCCTAAGTCACAGAGAAGTCTCAAACATTTAGATAACTTTAGAAAAGTCTTCTGTTGTTTACCAATCTTTAATTTTTCTTTGGAAATTTTGTAGTCATGTCAAAAAAGATTATAGAAATAAATACCCTTATGTTAAAGTTGGAGAGCACATAGACCAGTGGTTCTCAACCTGTGGGTCGTGACCCACAGGAACTAGATTAAAGGGCCATAGCATAGGGAAGGTTGAGAACCACTGAATAGACACGTTTTTGTAAATTTTACCAGAGGGAATTAACATAATAAAGAATTTCTCTAACAAGTTATAAAGAGAAAGCAACTGAAACTGAGCTAGATAAAATATCTGTTCTTAAAATGATGGATTCATTTCCTGAATTACAATAAAATATGTACAATATCAATAGCATAATACATTTAAAGTAATTGTATTTTCTCTACCTAGATCCAAAAACATTTACCTCTAAATGAAAACTCTGGGGTTTAATGCAGGTGACAGTGATGATTAGTTAATGAAGGTGAACAGAAGCATTTGCTGTGTTGACCTAGGCAAAATCACAGCTTTAAGATTAGTGTGTGGATGTGTCCCCTGTGCCACCTGCTATGATTGTGACTTCTGTGCAGCTGTCTGGCCTGGACCCTGTAGACTGGGGGACCACAGAGGCCACATTTAGTGGTCAGGGAGCCTCAAAAATTGAAACACACTAAAACTTTATTTATAATTAGGTAAAGTTGAAAATGCTTTGATCCAAACAGGTAAAAAAGAATGAGAATCAGAATAATAACAAAGAACATTCATGTCTTCTGTTTGCTTAGAAGTTTGTGGTTAATGAAGTATGGGCATATAAATCACCTTGAGAGGAAAACTGTTAAATAGCTAAAATGACACATTTATTCTTGAAGCAATGGCTCTAAGGAAATGAGAGACACAACTCACAAGGGTGACCACAGCCTGCTTCCTCACTTCCCCTTCCAGTGCTCACTTGCTCTTTCTAGAAAACTCATTTAAAAAACAAGGTTTAGTATTTTAACCAGATGCATTTCTTTTTCTAAACTATGGTTTTATGACTTAAGAAATGGAGGATACTGTATATCATCCTTTAACTTTGCACGAGAATGCCGTCATCATCCAGTTCATTCTCGCACTCTGTCCTAAGGCAAGCACAGGTGCCGGCCTCCATCCCCCCCTCCCCCGCTGACACACTGGCCCCTCTGACGGTGGTGCTCTCTGCGGTCCCCTTCCCCTGTCTGCACCTCCAGTTTGTCCCTGTTACTCTCCAGCCTCTGCGGACACTCCTGTGATCACATGTATGCTGCGCTGGCTGGCACAGTCTGGAGGGGTTACCTATCCACAGCCATTTTCATCTCTGATTCTTAATCTATTAAGAAATAAGACAGTGAGGTAAGGTTTACAGGGGCCAGAGTAGGCATCTGGTGAGGGAGGCGGAGGGCAGCAGAGGGTCCAGCTCACACAGCAGCACTCTGCTCTGACACCGCAGGCCAGACTAGGCTGACCTGCCTCCCGCCCCAGTTAGCCCCGAGGAGGCACAGGAGCCTGGGAGACAGCTCAGGGCCCCTTGTCCAGGCTTCCTTGTGGACACCAGTGTGCTGGGTCACTCTTCCAGAGGCCGAGGGCACAGCTCACCGGCTTCCTCTTCACATCTGTGAATAAGCATTTCCTCTGAACAAGGGTGGATGTTAGGGTGTTAGAGGTGCTAATGATTCTACCTTATAAGCAGCTGAGACATCAGGTGGGGAGAAAATAAAAAAGGCTGACTATGGGACAAGTGGGAATTGAGCCTGGGTGAAATGAATCAGGGAACAGCTGCCCTGTTATCATATTGTGGGTGGGCAGTTTTATGGAGAAAACTATCCTTGTTACCGGGTAACTTGTGATCATCAGCGGTGTGTGAATTTGGAGTTGCTAATGTGGCGGAGAAAGGGCCCATCTAAGCGAGAAGGTGTACAAGCTTGGAGACTCCTGTTGTGAGTGATTTCAGCCTCTTCTTCCCAGTGTTTATGAGAGCCGAGAGCTGAACCTCTCTGGCCACTAGGTACATGGAAGAGCCTCTTATTTATTCATAACCTGCCAATAGTCCACATCAAGTTGTTAATATTCAACATTAGAATATGATTTTAAATGGCGTCAAATAATTTCTAAAGGGAAACTAATCAGTAAGTCTGATCTGGCCTTTTTAGTGTAGTTTGGCCTCAACAACACTGAGAATTGTCAGCTGACACCCAGTGACCACCGTAGCTGTAAACAAAGTCCTTGCTGAAGCCAGTCAGAAATCCCACGTGTAGATTCCTGTGACTTCACATGTACAAAATTGGCCACCACGGTGTAGAGGACACACTGTGTCCATTCTCCTCACTGGCCAGTCCCCCCATGAGTCCAAAGGTATTTTTTTAGTCTCTTCCCTTGGGAACAGCCAATCAAGCACCAGTCACCTTCCGTCACTCTTTTTAGGAATCATTGTGACGGTTACAGGGTCTGTCTACCTGTTTGCATGTGCGATATGGAAATAGCCGCATCACATGGTTTCCCCAGTGCCCTCAGTGCCCTCTCTGCCTGAGTACAGCAGAGGTGACTGACCTGAAGAGCTCCAGGATTGTTAGCCCTTTATCTCTCAGCTCAGAAGAGGCCTCTGTCTAGGGTTTAGCCACTGTGGTTTAGAGCAGGGGTCCTCAAACTTTTTAAACAGGGAGCCAGTTCACTGTCCCTCAGACCGTTGGAGGGCCGGACTGCAGGCCCCAGGATGAGTCGGCTGCTAAGCAGGACAGGCAGCGGTGGCAAAAACACCCGGCAGGCCAGATAAATGTCCTAGGCGGGCTGCATGTGGCCGGCAGGCCGTAGTTTGAGGGCGCCTGGTTTAGAGCATCATCTTTTTTTTTTTTGCAGTTTTTGGCCGGGGCTGGGTTTGAACCCACCACGTCTGGTATATGAGTCCAGCTCCCTACTCCTTTGAGCCACAGGCACTGCCCTAGAGCATCATCTTATAAACAGGCCTTTCAAGACAGAGAGGATTCCGTGTGGATTTTTCTTAACGCTTCTTTTCTTTCATGGTTATTTTGCCTCATTATTTGAAGAAATCCCTTTCCATTTTGTGATTTTTTTTGTCTGTTTATAATATAATATTCAAAATGGAAAGCTGCACTATTAAGTGTTTGTTGTTTTACTTGATAAAACCTTCAGACCTCTGAATAAGGTTGCCAGAGAGACGCGTAGACTCAGCCTTGATCTGAAAGGACAGCACCCAGA